AGTTAAGACTATAGGATATCCTAGAAACAGCGTTAGAAGTTAAGACTATAGGATATCCTAGAAACAGCGTTAGAAGTTAAGACTATAGGATATCCTAGAAACAGCGTTAGAAGTTAAGACTATAGGATATCCTAGAAACAGCGTTAGAAGTTAAGACTATAGGATATCCTAGAAACAGCGTTAGAAGTTAAGACTATAGGATATCCTAGAAACAGCGTTAGAAGTTAAGACTATAGGATATCCTAGAAACAGCGTTAGAAGTTAAGACTATAGGATATCCTAGAAACAGCGTTAGAAGTTAAGAACCTAGGATATCCTAGAAACAGCGTTAGAAGTTAAGACTATAGGATATCCTAGAAACAGCGTTAGAAGTTAAGACTATAGGATATCCTAGAAACAGCGTTAGAAGTTAAGACTATAGGATATCCTAGAAACAGCGTTAGAAGTTAAGACTATAGGATATCCTAGAAACAGCGTTAGAAGTTAAGACTATAGGATATCCTAGAAACAGCGTTAGAAGTTAAGACTATAGGATATCCTAGAAACAGCGTTAGAAGTTAAGACTATAGGATATCCTAGAAACAGCGTTAGAAGTTAAGACTATAGTATATCCTAGAAACAGCGTTAGAAGTTAAGACTATAGGATATCCTAGAAACAGCGTTAGAAGTTAAGACTGTAGGATATCCTAGAAACAGCGTTAGAAGTTAAGACCCTGGGAATTTGCAAGAATGTTTCAAGAATAAGCAGCCTGCTTGACGAATTTTAACAGCACAAGGAAATATGTAGAACAGTCTTTGTGATCTGGGCCTGTGTCATTTATGGAATTTTATCACCCTAACTTAACTTTGCCTATTGTAACATTTGGCATATATAATCTCATGATCATTTTGCTTTTTTTGTCATTGACCAATGCACAATATCACTGTAACATGTAAAGTTAATGATATCCCCAAGACTTTAGGATTCTTTCATACTTTAAACTAATACCCGTCAGCTTAATAAAAAAAAACAGTACACATATATAAAGAGTTTATGACTTCCCTACAGGCTAATGAACTTTAGGTTTTGTTTGTTCTATAGGATGAACCATTTCATTCTGTTTTAAATTATATGATTAATATAATATGAATAAAGGGAACAGTCACCTTTCTAAATCTATTTTGCTGGCTAAGTTAGTACCTTTCTTATGTTTTTCAACCTTGTAAGAATTGCAGGAAGCACTGACATGGAAAAAAGCCCTTGTGGTTTAGTCAGTGCAATAAACTGAGGCATCATGTTCTACAGATTGTATATGACACAGTCATCCCCCATCATCTGGGAATGGAAAAAACATTAAGCTGATGCTGATGTCCTTGCACAATTTGCCTCGTTACACACTGCAAAAGGATTGCCCATCTTCATCAGCCTAATCAGGACAACATAAAATTTTCTTTCATTTCAATTCAAATACTGGAATTGGGTTGGAATTTTGGTGTTTTGGTTTTAAATGATAATTGTTTGATACTTCAAGAACCGTTTTCTTGATATTTAATTTACTAAGCAGCTCCTTTAAGCTCAACACAGCTCAAAATATATACAGATATATAGATACTTGTATACAGTATAAAGATATATAAATAAAATACTATTATGGATATACTACTCCTCTTTAATTTAAGCAACATTTCAATTCACATACAGGAATCTTTTTCAAGCAATGAAAGTATAAAGATATCCCTAAAGGGTTATAAACTTGTCTTGAAAACATATCTGCTGGAGTAGAACAAACACATGTTGTTATTGCTCCCTAGATAATATTCATCATTATTATTATTAAAACTAGGTGTCAGTCCGAACTGAATTATTAATATAGAAGTATGATTTATGTTATTGATGACTTGCCATATAGGCCTACCAAGACTATCAGGGTCACTGCCCTTAGTTGGAGGGGTGGTTATTAACATATAGAGATATTGTCAGTGATGCTGGTCAGATGAGATATTATTTTTGATTTGTTTGATAGGCCACGGAGCCAAGGCCCTATGTGCTACAGGCTTGGTGGAATTACAGATTGCATTCATTGAATTTTTTATCTCATTAAACAATCAGCCTAGGCCAGTGCTTTTATGAGAATATGTTCTCATCACCATCTAACAATCAAGACGAGGAAAGTAGGACATAAAACGTCATTTTTTCATTCTTATATACTACTTAAAGAACTAATAGATCAATTTATGACACCTTCAAAAAAAACAAAAAAAAAAACAATCGAGCTAAAGGAAAAAATTTGAAAAAAAAGGTTTAATTTATTTTTGTCCTAAAGGCATATCCTCTACATATTTTAAAAAATTCAAAGAAAAACCCTCAAGCACTTTGTTCTTTTAATATTGTTTTATTTTTTAAGATAATTTTCTATCTTACTTATTGAAGAGTTCAATTAGAATCCATTAACACCTGACGATGGGTTAACCTTTCAATGACCTTTTCAAATCAATCTAAAATTAGGTTCTATTATCCAGTATTGTGCCGACATGGAACTGAAATTGTTAATCAATGCAATGTATGTACATGCCATTAAAATTAAATACACCTGGACAATGGAGTCTAAATGAAATATTAATCAAGGCATGAACTAAACACATGTTTGATTGTCCAGTATTGTTAAACTGATTTCTTTGTAAAGGACTAAGTGACTGTGTAGTCTATTGTAAGTTATTGACCAACACTATGTCGAATTGTCAATAAATTCCACAATTTATTGGTATACATTAAACCTGATAGTTTTAATACTGATAATGAATATATTGCTTCCATTGTCTTGTGCTGTAGATTTGGGTGTAGCAGTACAGTTTTCTATTCTAATTCAGCATCATATGGTTTCAGACACAAAGGGATTACATTTTCCTTCTTCTAACATAACAATGTAAACAGCATTGTTTCTGGCCGAAACTGATACTGGTCAAGCTTTGACGATTCTGTAGAACCTGTTTGCAACCAGAAATCTACTAAAAGAAGGTATTGTTATGGTCATAGAAATTTACAAGGATAAGAACTTAATGTCAGAAAGATTCTGTCTAATAGCTGGTCCTGGGCCAAACCTCTTGGAATTACTTCTTGATGGATTAACAGCTGGGTTGACTAAAATAATGAGGAAAGATGACCTATTCAAGGTCAGATTAGAACCCACTGCTAACGTTTGGCACAATCAAGCTAAAGGACATTAATTTCCAACGATCTTTTTAGTTGCAGCCTGAAATCTAGCCAATATGGCACAGAGGCTCGACTTCATTGAGCATGATAACATTGAGCATGATTACATTGAGCATGATTACATTGAGCATGATTACATTGAGCATGATTACATTGAGCATGATTACATTGAGTATGATAGTTGTAAAAATGAGAATACATAGGCTACAGTAGAAATACCAAGTTCTAATCTCATGTGTTTGAAATATTAATAGATTAGTTTCCTTACCTTTTTCAGTTGCCTTCTTTGGACTGAAAGTGGCCTCAATTGGATATAATTAATTAACAAAGTATGTTAAATGAAGCAGGAAATATAACGAGATTAAAACTCAGTCTAATTAAGCTATGTTATTAATTATAGATATTTCAATTAAGATTGTATTCAGCAGAGATTTGTGTCATGATATGTAGGTGGGTGGTCTCAAATCTAACAGCTGGTTACCCTGCACCGAGAGCTAGGGGGAGCTTAGATGGTTTAGAGGCTTGCGTGCTAACATGAAGGACCTGGGTTCAATCCCAGCATGGGTCAAAATAACACCCAGTTTCCCCATTTCATTGATGAAGGTAAGAGGAGCTGACATAGAAAAAGTGTCAAGTCGTTACCCAATATAGAATTTATTATTGTTATGTTATCGTTATTATGATAAAATCGATATCTTGCTCAAATCATATCAAATTATATTTCTGTTGCCTGGCTGGTAACCTATATTTTAGAAACAACCTTTTCATCACCCCAATTGCAATCTTAGGCACAATGAAGCCCTCAAATTATGCAGGCCTGGGCAGTATTGTTTATTCAAGATAAGAATACAGGCAAAGGCTGGGTTTTGCATATTGGCCTTTGCTTTTTGGTTTAGGATGTTGCCTTAACTAGTGATGCTGAGATTTGATAGTCATCTGCCAGATAATAATGTGCCATAGGTTGTAAAAACACTGATTCCACAGCCACCAATAATCTCCAGTGAATCACTATTTTGTCCCCTTTTTGTCTATGCTTTAAACATAGAACTGATGTTTAAAGAGTGTTTTTTTGGCTTAGACAAATCTATCTATAACTTAAGACTACTTTTAAAGGGCAACAGTCAGCCTTTTTCGGTTATTGATTTTGGTCTTTATTCAGATATACCTAAATTTCACTGTCTATTCCTATATATGAGTTGAATTTTTAACTTTCAAACGTGAATAATTATGGATACACGTGGATTTGAAGGCTCAAATGTTGACGATGAGCTGTGAATACTATTATTGATTTTGTAAACTAAAAGAAACTAAGGTATAACGGATAGTGAAGGTGCTCCTTTAAACATTTTTGGTTTTGATATAGTTGGCGTAATAATATGGTCATATCAAATGGTTTATTATTATATTGAACAAATCCTATATTGGGAACTAGACTACTATACAATTAATATAGTATTAATTCTATTAATGGAGTTTTTACTGTGGGGCTGTTCTGGTCTCCCATAGCAACCAGGTGTTATTCACCAAAACAATACCAATATCATTATCTCAAGTATTCTACTTGTAGTTATTTTTATGTACTACTTGATGGCCATGTTTTATTTATTTTAGAATTTTGTCATCATTAGTGGTACATCCTGCACATGTGTACCTGGAATAATGACTTTAAATTACAGCGAAATGATTAAAGCCTAGTTCAGGGCGAATGATTTGCTTACATCTGCTGGCCCAATTGGATCTCTATTTTATTGAAAAGGGACTTCTTAGGGAGAGAGAGAAAGGAAGGGAATAATTATTCAATTTTTCATACCAATTAATGTAGATTTGTTCACAAATATACCATGAAACTTTATAGACTTAAATATTTCCCTTCTCAAATTTGAAACAAAGCTATGGTAGGCTATGATTATTCAATGAGGATGTTCCAATATTTTGGCTCTTGCAGACCCAATATCCTGCCAAACAGAATATAATTGCTTTGCTTGTTTAGAGGTGTTGAATTGCATTTTGATATGCTACATTTCTTAATTAAACCACTTCTGACGACTTTTAAAATATACAAGAAAATGGCTGATGCCTGATCAAGTAGGATATTCTTTGGTAACATAACTACCTATGTCCATTGAAAGTCACAACCCTTCCACCTCTATTGGTAGTATCCCCTATTAATATCCCAACCTAACTGTCATCATAATAAGCTTAACTATTAATACCCAGTTCTGTGATAAGCCTGAGCTAGATTAAATAGTCAAAACTTATTGACTGACTACTGTTGTAATAAACAACTTAGTCCTAGCTACCAACTTGTTTTCTCTTTGGTGTTTACATTATGTTAGCAACACATATCTCATGTTTGGAAATTACCTAGCCTTTCAAATCACCCATATGGTTGATTTCATTTTCTAATAAGTCTAAATGTCAAGGGACCCTGGTAGGTTTTATATTTAATATTATTATAATTATTATGCAATTAATCAATTTTATAAAAATATTGAATTATTTTGAGGTTCAGAAGAGAGCAATAAACTTGTGTGAACATGATAAATGTATGTCAAGTCTAAATATAATGATATTATGATGCAATTTGTGATATGATACCCTTAAGTAAATAATTAATATTATAAGGCTTGGAGCAAACTTTTCAAACTTATGTTTCAAATTAGAATTTACCCTGTAGAGGCTTACAACATATCCCATCAATGTAATAATAGAAGTTGTAAGACTTAGAATAGTTTTTTACATGGTCCTGTCTGAAGCCAAATCACAAAATGCCCCACACATAGATTGTCTGAAAACATTGGTTGTAAGGTTTCAAAAGAAACCATTGTAATTCAATAATGATTATTTCATACTGATGCCACTGACCTACGTCTTGGATTTTAATTTTAACTCAGCCAGCAGCTGTAGCAATGTTAAGATAAAATTCTAACATCAAGACAGGAGTAAATTATAAAACTCATTGGTCAGGAGTAGGAATCAATATAGTATGTTAAAATACAGGCTAATATTATCAGTCTATATGTAGCCTATATGTGTATTTCTATACAGTCTAGTAGATAAATATATTTTAGATGTTAGAGGGAATAATTCCACAAATTGATTCAGTATAGATATAGATAATCAGAACCCATGACCATCAATTGTTTGAAGTAACCATGGAAATGGTGTCCTCTGAAGAGTTCAATTGACTGTGCATGCTACAGATCATCCTGAAATTTCTTTATTAATAAATGAATTCGTGTTTCAGTAGACATTAAATATAGGGTGTCAGACTGGCACCAAACGTCTGAAAGTGTGTAACTCTCTCTGAAAATTCATGAATATTGTATTTTCAGGAGGCACTAAGGTGATTGGTAATACTGGAGAAGGTGGTAATAATAAGAATATAGAAGAGAAAGAAGGAAAGAGAGGGGGAGGAAAGAGAACCCCAGGTGGACGACCAACTAAATTACCAAATTGTTGTCTCCCTAATAATATGATGAGTACCTTCTATATTGGTGGTGGCAATGGTGTGGCATTGTAAGTATTATACTTACGTTTTTCAGAAACCAATGTTTAATTTTTTTAGTCAATGTACTTTCAGTGTCCCAGGCCAGTGCTAAAGCTGATATTTCAGACTGTTTAGTGTCCCAGTCATCTGATTGGATAAATACTAAAAGTGATCTTTAAATTTAATTGTATTAATTAATCAGATTGCTGTACTTGTAAAAATCTGTGTCTGGTTTAAAAAAATTTATAGTAAGATACAATCCAAGATTTTAAGAAATACAGTAATATCATTCGTAAAAAATGCTGAATTTAAAGACAATTTTAGAGAATTATTTATTGTTTTGAAATTGTGGAAGCCTTTGTAAGTTTGGTGAATATTGTAAGCTTACTTTACTCTGATAATCACCAAAGCAAGAGATCTGGAGTTTTGTAAGTCTACATTCTGTACTGACAAGTTATCTGAACAGACATAAATTTTGACCTTTTAAGATGTCTGTGTTTTTCTATTTGCAAGGCAGCACTCAAGGTGAATGTCTGAAAGCACTGAATATAGATTTATGTTAATTTGACTGTAGACATCATCAAAGAGAGAGATAGGAAGTTTTTAAGTGAATGTTCTTGCAAGGCATCTCAGAACAGATAAAACAGGAATTCTACTGGCATCAAGTAAAGTAGAATTTATGCTTATGTTACAGGGTTCAATTAAGATTGAACAATTTGATTCGCAATTTACACCAAATTTTAGTTTTGATTTTTAATTTTTAATTTTGATTCACCTTTCTTCAATACTTGGTAGTAATTTGAAATGTTCCAATTAAACTTTCAAAAAATCTTGTAAATGATGTTAATTTCTTAAGGCTATAGTGTTACCGTATATTGCTTAATTTGGATAAAACCTTCTCGCAAAAAATATACAATTTGTTTTGCTTCGCAGATCGTCATGATAAATTTTAATTTTGGTTAATCATAGGTAATTTTGAATCGTAAAAGGGGTATTTTTATAATTATAAACTGTAAAATTGAAGTCTATAATGTACCTGAATGAATGACTCACCTCTGTACCTAGCTATACTAGAATCTACCAACAGGACTTGATGATTCACTGTATATATTACCATAAACCAACATCCCAGCTATACTGATTGTTAGCTTTACCTTGTATGGTTTCATTATTCTATCACTTTATTGTTAAGGTGATAAGATCTGCTCTTTCTATCGTTTGAAAATCAAAAATATGGTCTAACACTATACACCATATTAGACACCATTACTTCTTAACATCTTTGTGTGTGTCCAGGGAAATTTTGCAAGAGCATTTGGGAAACTGAGTTGAAAAACCTGAGACCATCAGATAGCGAGAAAGCATATAACTCACTTAGCTTCTATTTGAGCTTTAACACTCTGTCTGTTGATGGCCTGAAACTGTAGAAAGTGGAAAAGAATATATTTAAAATTTAAATTTATTGACTTGTTAAAAAAATATTCATTGATTCCTTTTGTGTCCAGATCAAGATCATATTTTCTGTTTTTTGAAAATTGATAATATATTAATTGTTTTTTTGTATATTTGAAAAACTGGTAAACTTATAAATCAAAATATTTTCATTGTCCAAAAGAGGAAGTATGTAAACATTATGGAAAGAATCTTTTTTTAGTATTCCGGCCTGCAGAGCATTTTTTTTTGCACTTCTAACAATGTCATGTTTTCATTTTCATCTGAATTCAATTTTTGTTTGAAACAAGTGTTTGATTAAAAAACATTGAATTTATTTGCATGACAATGAAGATATTTTGCATGAAAACATTTGAATTTGAATAGAATTTTAAATGGCTTTGAATTTTTAAATTCCTTTGCATCTGAGAGTTGGACTATTCTGTTTGAAACTTAGTCCGAAACTCTGAGCCTTTTCACTTCATGGTCTGTACAAGTTCATAGTTTGTTACCATTCCAGTACCATATCATTGTATGTAAAGTATGCTGTTGTAACCCCAAAAAGGAATCGCATAAACATTTGTCAAGAGGTAATAGGTATTATACATGTGAATAATTGAGCAGCATCTTTTTAACATCGACCTTTTATTGTCCTGGCAGTAGAATAGCTCAGTCTGCTGTTAGACTATTAGATGCTGTGTGTTTGAATCCTCATCAAGGTCAAGAAATTGCTTGAGCCGTGCTTCTGAAAGTCCGTCCAGCGTCGACTTTCAAACCCTAATATCTAACAGCACATGCATAGTTAGAAATTCTGTTTCTAGCAGACAATATCTATCATTGTATTCGCGGAAGTCAGCATTTCGGACTTGATGTATGAAAAGTTGAGTGTAAGTAGATGTAAATGCGATACAGTAATTAAGGGGAAAATGCTGTGTGAATAGTAAATACTTGAATAATGTAAAATAACCAGTTTCCCTCCACCTAGAAAGTAAATATACTCAGCTTCTTTCACTTTTAAATGTCGCATTATTGACTCGTTACTATAAATATATTAAAATACCGTTTGTTCATCCCAGGGGTCGCATTGTTGACTTGATGAGGAAATGAATTCAATTTCTTTATTGCTGAATAAGCTAAGGTTCAGGCCCACCAGTAGATAATTTCTGTGGTTAGCGTATCAAAGGGTCCAGCCCTGCTCTGCTCTTTTGCTATATTGTGTATGCCCCGATAATGTTCAGACTACCAAATTGTAAGAAGTCCTTAGTCAGATACTGTGTTGCCACATAAAGGGAGGATTATTCCCAAAGCAATGAATGTGCAGAAAAGCATAGATTTATAGGGATATCAAAATATTCTCTTCAAATTTCTCTGTTTTCTTGCATGGATCAGTTAATACTTCATCATCTTGGTTGCATGCTGGTTGTTGCCTGAAGAAAATTGCTGTATTATCCAAGAGAACCAGATCTATAAGAAGTCTTTTATCAGATACTGTGTTGCCACTTTTATGGAGGATTAGGTTAACATTCACAGGCAAAGGAATTTAGGTCAATTTTGGTAGTATATACTTCTGAAACTTCTGATTATTGAGTGATCCATCAACATGGTTGCATGCAATTTGCTGCCTGAAAAGATATTACTGCTTTACCCTAGTCAACCGGTTCCCCGTGTCCCTTTCTCTTCTCTGTCTACATATGAAGACCTAAATTGTTCATATACTATAACCCCTGGGAGTATGTATGTATATTGCTATATATAGTCATATATCTATCATCAAAGCTGAATGATTCATCACCAGCTTGTTACATTAAATAAAACTCACATAAAAATTGTCTTGATTAAACACTTCAATATCAAAAAGATTTCAGGATATGGCAATATTGGCCCTACTGTATATACAATATACTTGTATAGTTCAAATATATTTTTTTGATATTGTAGAAGTACCATATATAATGTATATTTGTTCATGTTTTATGTCACATAAAGAAGAAAAACTTTCTACTCATCAAATGCATTGTTCAGAAGTCTATGACCTTGCAGTAGTTCATCATCCCATCACCATCTTAAAAGTAACCCTTCTATAAGCTGACAATTTTTTGGTAGACCACCATGTAGAATATTACTTACAGCTGAAGGCAATTTCAAACTCTGAGAGTTATAAAGCAATTACAGCCTTGGTTATGTATGGCTTAGCCGTTAATCCACTCTGTCAATCTGTCAACTTGTTAATATAAATTCAGATTATAAGATTAACTTTTGATAATCTGACTTATATTCAAGTACTTGATAATAATCTGACATACTTGTACTTACATTGTGTTCAATTAAAGATACCTGTAAAAGATAGGTACTGTAAAAAATGCATGTCCCTTTTATTTCTGTTGGAAATCTGTCTTGGTGCATATTAATATTGGACTCGTAAATAATATAATGAATAAATAAACCAAGTACCACCAATCCGAACCTGAAATTGAGGTGATAAACTTAGTCATAAAATAACATCAGGTCTTCCAGATGACTGAGCCTGGAGTGGAAAGTTGTGTCTTTTGGGGGTTTCAGAGTAGAAGAGCCTTGTTCAATAGTTATTGGATGTAGGACATAAAAAATGATGTTGTTATATTTTAGGGTAGAGGGAGCCTTGTTGAATATGGGATGGAAAAGAATAGTTGATAAGCATGATGAGAGATATAAGTTAAAATGGGTGGAATGTAAAAGTAAAATCAACTACCAATCTTTCAGAGAAGGTAAGTCTGACTTCCCATCATCTCCTGAGGTGCTCCAACTAAATATACAAATTGGTTGGTTAGCAGATTGGCAATTTAAAGTCTGCTTCCAGCTAACAGATATGGCAAACATAACAATAAAAAGTTAATACCCAATCAAAAAAGACACATCTATAGGCTCACAAATGTAGAGTGAGGTACACTTTGAGGCCCTTTCTGGATTGGATTTAGTTCATGTGAACCAATCTACAAGCTCACACTGTTATTATGAACCACATTCAGAAATATTATTCTATTTATAATAGTAAAGTTCTGAAATAGTACAGAATTGGTCCATTCCCTCTAATATACCCTCTAAATTACGTGATGTGTGGAGCATCACTTGCTTATAACCCAGAGTTATGTTAACCTTACAGTTTCTATGACTAAACATTAGGGCACCTTGGTAATCACCTTGGTTGCGTGCATTTAAGATGATTTGAGTATGGTAATCACCACATATACCTATGTTGAAAGAAATACAAGCATATTGTATGTACATACTAGACTATAATACTCAACAATTAGTCTTCCATGCTTGAGTTGTTAGTTTGAAGCCTGTTTAAACGATACATGTAATTTAATATAGGAATATTATCATTGCTCTTGGTATCTATTAGCCCAAAACAGACTCTGACTAGTCTATGAAGAGATATACTTAAAATGGACCAAATGATGAGGTCATGACAGACAGCCCCTCTCATAGACTCTGAACTTGTCTCTGATAGTTATTGAGTACAGAGCCTTAAATCTCAATCTTGTCCCTTACTGACAGATGCTGAATTTTACTGACTATATCTGACCTCTGATAGTTATTATTTTTGGAGTTATGGAGACTTGCTGATTCTATACCTGACCTATGATAGTAAGTTATTATTGACAAAGGTCAGTCTGGACCTTGCTGACTCAATTTCTTACTAATTATCAAAACTCAACAAGTTCAGACTATATAAATCTTTGTCTGATGATGAAAATAGAAAACCTGTTTGACTTCATTTTATCAGTCTATATAGGAATTTGACATCCATATTATATATTATACTCCCAGGTATTTGTAATATCATTATCTATGACTATAGTTGCATAATATGTGGACTATTAATTTCACTAAGTACTTATGCTTTTGAGTCTTTGAGGTTTGAGGTAATATTCTTGAAATGTAACCACAGTCCTATGGGGATTGACTTACCCAGTCATGCAGAGAGGCATGTACGTAACTTTTTGGAACAAAACAAATGATTTGAGTTTGATTCCACTTTTGAACAACATGAATAATATTTCTATGGTTACATTATACTGACAAGGTATATGTATCTACGAGTAGTATTTACTATCAGCAAAAACTCAGTCTGTATGCTACATTCGTAAACCAGTAGAAAACTTCACTTTTTGCACACTGCATGACACTGTCTTCATAAAGTCCCTAAAGGGCCCTAAAATTCATTCTGTCATCAACACAACAAAGAGTTACAATAATAACAATTTTCCTCAAAGCATATACAATTTTTATTAAATAAAATCTGCATAGCATATTAAGCATAGGTGTAGAGAGAGAAATATAACAAGTCTATCAAATATTTGAATATTAAAATAAATAAGGTGTAACTTGAACTAGTATAATAGATGAATACATACCTTGGGGCAAGTCATTGTTGTCTTTCTTCTTTCATTTCACTTGATATACCTTAGGAAGGGATGTGTCTAAATAGGGCAAGCAGACAGGGGGAGGGGAGGGGGAATTGACAAAGAGACACCTTCATGCAATAAGGATTAAGCGAGGAATGACAATTCTATTTCTTAGTGAGGCATTGAGTTAAAATGCAAGTTATTTTGTATCTATATATAGCAATGTGTTGTGGGATCAATGACGTCATTGTCTTGCACCTGATTAGGTTGATGATAGTTGACAATGTGATGCAGTGTGCAAAGAGGGAAACTTTACAATAATTGCAGCATAAGCCTTCTCTTTTTCGATTTTCAACTATGGCTGAATCTTTTATTTGTACACCCTGTAAAGCATGGGCCTTAGTCTGCCCAATCCGAACAACTGAACTCTTTTACTATGTCTGCTCCTGGAAACTGACAGGGGTTAATTGGATTGAAAATCCTGAGGTATCATCATGCCAAGATCCTAAACCTTCAGGATAGCAAGCAATCGTCTCACCAAACTAAGCCACAATGGCCCTCCAATGATAATATTTGGATGTCGTCAATCATAGATGGTTTGAAGCATATTTATTTCAGTTTTAGGTCTGGTTGACAATCTTGATATAGGGTGGTGTGTATTGTATAATAGTAGGTGTAATAATCTATCCGTGAAATTAAAATACAAGGCTGGGATGAATAGGATGTGGTTTCAGTAGGAGGGTAACATTTCTAAACTACAATAGATATCTATAAAAAATATACAGATGTCAAGGGTTCTTATGTGGTTTTAGAAGGATGGTATGATATTGTTAATGTACAATGGATATTCTATAAAGAAATACATACAGTAGCTGATGGGATTGTTTGATATTGTGTAGTGTACATTGTTGATATCGTTACACAACTCTACACCCTTTCATCTTGACATCTCAAACTGTTTCATACAAGTTCCTTATATGTAGCTTTTCTCTTTTCTGACATACACCTTGAAACCCACATTTTGCTTGCTAACAGGTTTTAGGTGATCTAAATGACACTTTCTCAGTGTTCAACAAAATATAGGTTTCTGTTATTATCAGTGAATCGATGTATCGCAATATGACATGTCACAATATATATATGTATCCATACTTGACGATACTTTTTATTCCTGATAAAAGTGGAGATATTTTTAAGTTGGTTTATAATATAACAATTTTTTTTCACTTTTACCAACTATATTATCAAATATCACAGTTATAAAGTTATGAATTAATATATATATAGAAACTTTGAAGATAAAATGTTTATTTTTATCCCAATACCCCATATCGTGATATATATAATATCATGACCCCTGTGTCGTGATATGTATAATATCGTGACCCTTGTATCGTGATATTTATAATATCGTGACCCCTGTATCGTGATATATATAATATCGTGACCCTTATATCATGATATATATAATATCGTGACCCTTGTATTACGATACGTATGGTATCATGGCTTGATTGATGATACCCAGCACTAGTTGCTTTATGTATCTCACTTGCTTGTAAATTTTTTCATCTCAAACTTTATTTCCAATTCTGTTTTACGACATCGATATATATTTGAATGTACTCTGCAAATTGGTGTACATGGCCTCTTGAATATGTTAATAATGATATGATATCTATCTGAGACTATAAACTGCTGTCCCTAGTGAACCCTGATGTCAATCAGGCATTATTCTACTAGTTTAAATTATTGATGATATTGTGAACATGTTTCTATTGTTATAAAATGATTGAATGGTTAAATAGATAGCTATCTCCATTCTTAGTTTTTATTGTAGCCTATTAATATTGCTGATAGACTTGATTTGAACAATGAAATTATGAAAGGCATTTATTTCTTATATCAGAGTTTCTCAACTGGCGGTGAACACTTGGAATTCGTAAAAAAAATGATAAATGACAGAAATGTGTCTGTATTGTTGTATTTTACTGGTGAAAATGAATTGAGTAGATAAAAAAAAGACTGAACAAAAGCAATCCTTAACTTAAATCCATGCTTCAGCTGGGCCTGCAAAGCTTTGTTTGCTACATATCTTAGACCTATGGAGCTTAAGCGATTCCTAAATAAGCTTCACAGCATGACCTTGTGTTTTACTTCCTGCTGTTCTGGTTTCTGATGCACAAATATTCTTATTGAACTTCATGGTAAACTTCATGGTGAATTTGATAATGTTAATTTATTAGATATTATCATTTTCTATTGTCTCCACATCATTCCATTTCATGTAATCACATTATAATCATGTATCTTTTGATAAACAAATTGCATTAGGGAAATGAATAAGGTTTTATTTTCGACCAAGTATTTAAGAAATCATTCTCTTTCTGAAAAGTTGTCTGAACACCTATTGATATTAATATCCACCTTCCCTACATTTGATGTGATCTGAGTGGAACTGTTTCTTTAAACTAAATATAGTAAAACAATATACTTGATGGAATAATGAATTATTAACCACTCTCTAGTATAACAATAATGATAGTTAATACATGTTATTTTTACCACATTGAGTATTGATCACAGCACTCCAGCCAGGCTTTCTGTATAATTAACATATTACTTTTTACAGAATAAAACAACTGTCAAGGTCATTGTAACATTGGAATCATGAATAAGAATGTGATTTGTCAATATTTAAACAAGTTTTTTACTCCGTCAGCAATGCATATTGAATATCTTTTATCAATTTTTCAGAAAACATGAATGAATCGCAGTAAATGGAAATATGAAAATGCTGGTAGCCTATTGTTTGAATATGACTAATTCCTAAACAAAATGACAGAATAGTCTATAAATTGTCAATCGGATCATAATTCATGTGGTGTATTTGCCATCACTCATGATCTGATAAGATCTGAGGTCAGTTCATGAATGGCATGTGGAGTCGCATGCAGAAAGAAAACCCCTAAAATGAAATATTGCATTTTTATCATATAAACTCATAGATGATTTTTTGCAATTTAGAATGTAAGCATAAATTTTTAATGTATTTTCTATTTTCAATTTAAATTGTATATTTTTTTCAGGAGAGCAGTTAGTGAACCATATCCCCAACTGTCATTTATTGACCAATAAACTAGGTCTAGTCAACAGTCTACAAGAGTACGAACGAGTCACTCTAACAACTAAAGGGAGACCACCTCGATTGAAAATGAGTGATATTTTACCAGAAACTTATAAACTAGATGATAAAAATGACAGAGAATCTTTTCTTAACACTTATAAAGGTATGAATGAGTTCTTCTATAAAATATTATTAGTTCTTTATATAGGGAACGGTGTCAGTTTAATAAATTCCTTAAGGAAAGTAATAAAACTGTTCTTTGAAATAGACATCTTGTATTATATAATGGTGCAGATAATTCAGAAAAGATCACTTGGCCTAAAACCTGCAGGGAAAACCAAAATTGTTTTCTCATATTAAATGGATGCTTCTTTCTTTTGCTAATGCTACCATGTTTGTCCCCATTCATGTTACCCTTGAACAACTGTTGGAAATTGAAAAAAGAGTAAGCCAATGTTGCTGTCCTGAAAAAAGTATCCTCATTGCTCTATGCATAGTGTTGCCGGTCATTATCGTAATCAGGTGCAAAATTGTAGGATGTAAAACTCCATTTCATTTCATTGTAGATGGTGAGATGTGGATCTGTAAACCAACTGGTATGAATCAAGGCAAGGGAATATTTTTATTACGATCTCAACAGGAAATAGATAAATTATTATTAGAACGAGATGAAAAACAACAACAACGAAAAACTAGTCGGCCATTGATGTCCAGAATAGTTCAAAGGTTAGTGATTTTGATGTTGACGAAGTACTATATGGAACAATTAATATTCAATGTAAAAACTGACATTCTCTTGGTAATCCAACATTGTTTAATATTACCAATGAATGTCAGAATACACACAACTCATTGTATACCGTATATGAAAAAACATGGTATCAAATGAGATCAGGCTAATTCAGGTAATAAACCATAGAAGGTACTTGATGTGTGTACCCAATGTGGGAGATATTATTTTGTGTTACACAAGAAATGATGAATATTGCACTGATGACTTTGATGTTTTGAATCATATCTGAAAGCACTAGAATGATGAAAGATATCAGGTTAGTTCATTCAGAAGAACACCAAAATCAAATCTTGGTGTAGTGACATGAAGGCTCATCATTTCGAAATGTTATTTATTTTCTACATGTCTGAAGATCGCATAAACTCTGAATAACAATTAAATATTTTTGATATTTCAGATATATTCACAATCCTTTGTTACTGGATGGTAGAAAGTTTGATATACGAGCGTATATGTTAATAGCTAGTACTACACCGTATTTAGTTGTATATCATAAAGGTTATGTGAGGTTATCTTGTATGCCTTATGATGGTGATGATACCAACCTAACTACACATCTTACTAATCAGGTAATAACCATCGGTCGTGGGTATTCGGTATCTGTATTTGTATAAGCTACACTGAGGCCATAAATCTTGAGAATCTTCTGATATGATAATGTTCAAATGTATCTATATGACAGTGTTACTGTAAGACAATGTTCTTGTAAAACAATGTTCATCTATGAGAATTTTCTGAATTTACAATGTTTCAATATGTATATGTTTTTGTATGCCAATGTTCCTATATGACAATGGCATTGTTCTTATAAGACAACGTTCTTACAGAATCTTAATTAGGCAAGAAGACTTGGATAATGAGAAAAGACCTCTGGATAAGCTACTGTCCTTTCATGATATCAGTAAAAAGATATGGTATCGTGTATATAAAGGATCTTGACCCTGTTTTTCAAACATTCATTCAACCAATTTTCATCATAGTCTTTCACTTGTAGCATTTCATTCGCTTAGTTTTATTGACATCTGTTAGGTTCCTCCTCAAAGTAAGAAAATAGTTCTTATGCCAAATGCTTTCAAGGGTCAGGTCATTGAAGTCAATATTTGAATCCTATATTTCAGTATATACAGAAGAAAGATCCTAATTATAAAGATGTAAAAGAAGATACAGCATGGAGTATGGATAAATTTAACGATTATATCAATGAAAAAGTAGCTCCAGAAAAAAATCTAGAACCAAATTGGGTTTACAATTATTTAACAGTAAGATTAATTACATCAAAAGCTTTTCTCAAATCATCAAACATAATATTGAGTATGATTTGTTTGTTTTATTATATCAAAAGCTTTTCTCAAATCATCAAACATAATATTGAGTATGATTTGTCTGTTTTATTATATCAAAGGCTTTTCTCAAATCATCAAACATAATATTGAGTATGATTTGTCTGTTTTATTATATCAAAGGCCATTCTCAAATCATCAAACATAATATTGAGTATGATTTGTCTGTTTTATTATATCAAAGGCTTTTCTCAAATCATCAAACATAATATTGAGTATGATTTGTCTGTTTTATTATATCAAAAGCCTTTCTCAAATCATCAAACATAATATTGAGTATGATTTGTTTGTTTTATTATATCAAAGCCTTTCTCAAATCATCAAACATAATATTGAGTATGATTTGTTTGTTTTATTATATCAAAGCCTTTCTCAAATCATCAAACATAATATTGAGTATGATTTGTCTGTTTTATTATATCAAAAGCTTTTCTCAAATCATCAAACATAATATTGAGTATGATTTGTTTTTTTTATTATATCAAAGGCTTTTCTCAAATCATCAAACATAATATTGAGTATGATTTGTTTGTTTTATTATATCAAAAGCCTTTCTCAAATCATCAAACATAATATTGAGTATGATTTGTTCCAATATTGACAAATTTCCCTGATACAAGATAGGTGGCTATTACTATCATGGTATAGCTGGTGTTGTGGAGATACATTTAAACCATGTTTATTTTTTTCAGAAACAAATGCAGAGAATGATGTTACATTGTTTTAATAGTGTGAAACATAAATTACAATGTAAAATGGGATATTTTGATTTATATGGTTTAGATTTTATGGTCGATACAGATATGAAGGTAACTCAATAGAAAAGTAGTTTGCACTAATTGTACCCCCACTTTATTTTCAACAAATCTAAATCTCTACCTTTTTTATCCAAAATATGTGTCGAAATGCACAAAACCAATTCATTTTTTCAAAACTTTTCTTGAGAAAACCCTTTAAGATGCTCTATGAGAGGAGTGAAACTATGACATCACCACAGAGTATTCAAAAGTTGAATTCAGCCTCAGCAGTTGTCTCCCCATTGAATCATTCTTCCCCCTATTGATTGTGTAACTACATGATACATGGTGAAGAAAAATGATACCTTTCAAATTTTTTAAATTTAACACTCTTTAAAGAATTTTTTATTTGCCATTTCACATTTTAATGCATCTAATCGGTAGTGAGCTATATCCTTATGTCACGTAATGTTCTGAAGTGTATATAACAATGTATTTGATCTTTAACTGTAGGTCTGGATGATAGAGATCAATGTCAATCCCGCACTAAGCACCAACTGTGAAGCTTTAAAAGATGTTATACCCTCAGTTGTAGAGGACGCCATTAGTAAGTTGGAATTCTATCAATGACACCATGTCCTCGTCATAAATGAAAAATGTTGAATATCACTGGCAGAAAGAAAGAAACAACCATTTTTATATGCCCACATCCCTCTATGTGGACGTATATTGTCGGCACCCCTGTGTTCGTAGGTCCGTCCGTCAACATATGCTTGTAAATGCTCTAAAAACTAGATTTTTTTTTTCGGTATGTGTATACATATTCATAAAACGAAGATCAAGTTGAATTTGAGCTGTTTTCAATTGTTAGAAGCAGAGTTATTGCCCTTGCACCAAAATCTTGAATATTTACCATCTGCATGCCGTGGTGGGCGTATATTGCTGTGGTCCACTATCTTTATAAATTGAAGAGGCAAAATAAATTGAAGTATTTATAAATTTTATCATTATTTTAGTCATCCCTTTCTATGCGATCAATAAAGCTAATTTGGCTACTTGTTTTTAAGATTGTATATCTCATTTTGATTCCATGGGGCTAATTTCGTTTCAGATTTATCAGTGGAATGTTTTGAGAAGAGTAAGAAACATCAGATGTTACAGCCTCTCAATAATCTGCGAGGGTTTACAGTATTATATTGTGGTTCTCAACCTAACGCAGTGCAATCTCGCTCCAATAGGTCTTCATCTCCTTCTAAGGAACTAGAAAAAAGTTCTAATGCTACACAAAGTACTTCGAAAAGACGCAGTGGTGTGTCACCTTCGCGATCATTTGTTCCTCGTACAAGTATTTCAAATACTGTCAATCCTGTCCAATCAAAATCAGGCTTCCAGCAAGAGAGTGACCCACTTGCTAAGAGTCCATATAGCAGTTCGATTTTGCCAACTAAACATCTGCAACCACTACCTAAAGGAACCAATCAGATCTCAGCTAGTAAGTCTCGGTCACAAACTAGAAAAAGTACGACAGAGTCATCTGCTGAAAGTAACTCCAAGTCATCAGCTAAATCATCCAGCTCCAACCAATCAGCATCAGATTCAAAACCAGTGTCAAAATCTGGAAGTGACTCTAAAGCAAATAGTGACCCAAAACCTAAATCGATTCAATCAAAAAATGACTCTCAATCAACCCCACCCAAATCTGGCAGTGACTCATTAAAATCAGAAAATAATTCGAAATCATCTCCAGCTAATTCTACAAGTTCATCAACTTCCAAAAAATCAATCAGTGATTCAAAATCAACACCACCCAAGAATGGCGGTGAACCAAAATCAGTCAGTGACTCAAAATCAACACCACCCAAGAATGGCAGAGAACCAAAATCAGTCAGTGACTCAAAATCTGCTTCACCGAATGGCAACAGTGATTCAAAATCGACTTCTCAGAAGGCAAACAATGACACAAAACTTGCCTCCCCCAAGGCAAACAATGATACAAAACCAGCCTGTCCCAAAGCAAACAGTGACTCAAAATCATCCTCCCCTAAATCAGGTTCTCAGGCATCACCAACTGGAGAAGTTAAATTGAAACTGATGCATAAATCAAAGGTAGACATGTCTGATCGAGGCAATTAACAAAAGATTTCATCTGTTTTAAAAAGTACTCAGATGGGCATAAAGATCTTCATAGCTTGACTTCAGCTTAGCAGCAGAGTTACATCAGGTATGAAAGGAATGTGCCATAATGACAGTATTTATGGCTGCTATTAACAATTATTTAACAGTAAGATAAATTACATCAAAAGCCTTTCTCAAATCATCAAACATAATATTAAACATGATTTGTTCGTTTTATTATATCAGAGGCTTTTATCAAATATTAGTAATATTATGAAAATACTGTATAATTTTGAATATAGTGCGCACACTTGTATTACGCGCACCCCCTTCTTCTATCACAAAGAAACTGAAATAGAGATTAAACCATTGTGAATTGAGAATTTAAAACAGGAGTCATTAACTGTTGGAGAAATAAACATTCAGTCGGATTGAAGTTAGCTTTGAAAGTTTACTGGTGTTGGCAATCAACCTATCCCCATGTTATATTAATCATATTTATTTCACGGTTATTTTTTGTTTTGTTAAGAAGCAAACCTGTGATACATTTAGTTTATTTTTTTATATAGAATTTTAAATTGCTCTGAGGCTTGTCTCCTTAATCTCATGTTAATCAGTGTGAGAATGTGACATGAACTTGTGTTTCTAATATGGTTTTATTATTTGCAAGGACATTTGTTACAGGAATTTAGTCCTCAGTATTTGATTTCCCGCTGCATCATGGATATTCAGACTTTTCTTGCGAAAAAAGGGGGTGAAGTTGAAGAGGGACAGACCCTCCATCAATTCTTGTAATATATCTGGGAAAATATTTGATATAAACACTATACATGTTTAATATCCTTTGCCACATACTGAATGTTATAATGAACAAAATTAGCAAAGTAGATATGTTATTTTATTTTTAAGAAAAGCCATGTAAGCACTATAGAAGGAGGAAACACAATACATGCTATATCTAGCCTGGCTTTCACCTCATTAGTTCCAGCATTATAAAGTGCCATAAATATTTATTCCAACCGTCCAATAATTTTGTGATATATATCCTGTGATTATTTTATTGTGATTTTTGTTAAATTATATTTTTATTGTTGAACATATTAATATTATTATATAATCGATTTGTTTTGATTCATGACAATGTGTTTCGATATTTTTAGTTTGTGATTTAACTATTTCCCCCTATTCTTGAAACTCTTTGACAAAATGATTGCAGAAGTTCTCATATCAAGGCCTTTGAAGAATTATAACAGGATTGATTTTACTATTTGGACATGCTTAATTGAATCCTATATATCACATAATTCTGTGATTTGGCATCTTTTTCAGGTCTCAGAAATGCAAGATGGATTAGATTAGCATCAATTTTGACATCCATTTGTCTATAAATGATGTTGAGCCTATAGCAATATCGATATTTTGAATGTGGTCTTTAGCTTTGACTTTTCGTTATTTTTTACTCCCTTGAATTATTGGTTAACTAACAGCATTGGGTGGCAAGCTTATCTTGCTCACTAAACACCGTAAGATCAAATATGCGTCCACTTAATAAAAGTGAAAGGACTGCATTTCTGTAATGGATAAGGAAAGCTGTAGGACGATATGGGATATCTGCTCAAACAATTAGGACATTTATAAATAAGGACTTGGGTGTTCTGCTCTTTTTCACCTTACAGGCTGTACATGTTGTAGATCTCTTGACAATTGGAAATCGAAAAAGAGTAGGAAAATGTGACCAAGCAAATTTTCACACATTGCATACTACATACATGGCGCTGCCCAGGGTGCAGACAAGTAGCACGTAAAATTTCATTCAAAGAATTTACAAAGCCAAATCCTGTAACAGTGTTTCTACACTGGTCTATATTGCGAGAAAATTGCTGAGTAAGCTTTTTTTTATATTTTAGCAGTTAACAACTGCACGGTGGGGGCGGAGATCATTCCGACCCGAAAGGCTATAATTAACACTTGACATTAAATATATAACCACAATTGAAAATAATACCAACCGAGCATTAATTTCTACATTAGTCCCATAATTTGGAAGCTAGAAATTTAAAAAAAGAACCCTAAAAAGCATGTTGTTGTTACTCAGAGTTTCACGCTATGCTATCTTGGAAGCTAAGTTCATTGCCACAGAGTCAAGAGTAAAAATTTTCGCAGAGTGTAGACTGAGGCTAAAACATGTAAAATACAGGCTCGAAAAAGAACTTATCCTAAATATTATGCGCCCGAAAAAATTCATTTTTCGAAATTCGTCTGCCCTCCGCCTCGGATTAGATCCACAGATGTGTGTCCTATGTCTTTAAGGGTGACCTCTGAGCTATGACTTGCGCCCAATAGCACGAGCCACGAGAAATAACCCAGGTATAGGGAATGATTGCCTTACATCTTGATATATAATAGATAAAAAAAAAACACCGATAATCAAGACGGAGTTATAATTTTAAGTTATATTAATAGTCGTCTGTCATTAGCAGGAAGCGGGAATTTCTTTACATTCAATTTTACTTGAAGTCGCGGAGTCTAGGAACTGGTATATTCCGTGTAACATTGTTAACCTCGACCTGTAATTATATTCCCATACCACCTGACCAATGGTTTAGTGCGAAGTTTGCTCAATATTTTTTTTTTAAGTAGCATTTAAGCATAAAAAGAGATCACAATACGCCTATCTATTCAAATTCTATTTATTTACAATCGTTGGCTTCAAACGTATTAAAGAACAATGTTAATGGGATCAAATGTTCACATTAATATATTAATTTTATTACGCCACTGTCGACTGATAAGGGGTAGGTGCCAGGCTCCCCGGTGCCCAAAATTGCAATTTGTTTTTGTGGAAATGAGCAGTCTAACAATGGAAGAATACTCCTTTAAATTGCATAAAATGTAGGATTTGAGCCCTTTATTTACATAATATTCCTTCCATGTTCTGCCACCTCTACTATTTCACCCTGTGGTAGTAATGCTTCCTTTAACATTAAAGATGTTTTCCCTTATTTCGCATTTATGAAAATGAAAATACTAATACTTATATGAATAGAATGTAGAGGTGTTCTAATGACTTGGAAAAATACCAGTTTGTCTCACATGTCTGTAATTAATTCATAATTAGCTAAATTAGAAGAGAATTACCAGCCGAATTCCAATGAGTGACCGATCAAGAAAGGTCAAAAAGACTGTACATACATGGACATTTATGATTGGTTAAAACTCTTAATTATATGCCATAAGAACATATTGATATGATTAAGAATATATGATAATTCATTAGAAACACCAAATAATCAAATAGTTTGCTTAATTTGACACTATAAAAGAAGGAAACTCCTCTTTAAGGACGACAGATAGCCAATGTCCAGTAGGTTTATCTGACAATTGATGTCTGAGCGCAGATTGGTTACTTGAGCGCAGTGTAGATTTCCACTGAACCATAGTGGTGAGGTTGTAGGTTTGTCATAAAACCTGTGGTCAACAGATTTCAACTAAAGCTTGATTGACATGAATCACATGATGGACATTCACATAACATTTGTTCACGTGATGACTAAATGTTAATTGTTAATCAGACATAGTTTTTTTTTATATATATAATGAACTTCTATATGCAGAAAGGTAGTACATGCTAGCCCACTCCGGATCGCAAGCTTTTTTCACAGTTTCTGCCAAACGTTGATTACTATGGTCAACCTAATTGAAAACTTAAAATAAAAGTGTTTTCAGATGGTTCACCCTACTTGTTAGCATTATCCATGCACATTCTACAGAGATGATACATGGGACAACACTCTAATGATGGGACATAACTTAGGAATACCTATAAACAAGTTGGATTGCAGACATAGTTCACCACAAAGATAGTAAAAACACACTTTTATGGTATACTATTCCTAGTTTTACCGTACACAAATAAGGATTATTCCAAACGATATGGAAACAGACATATCTTTGGCAAAGGGTGCACTGGGCGTTTACCACCATGAAGTTGGTTAACCCAGGACGGTGCAACTATAGAGGTATGTCTTCTATCATCTCAAAACTATCCAAATCCACAAGGTAGGTATAAAGGACTTTCTAAAATTTGTAATCTTTGTTTTGACCGTTTAGAAAATCTCTTACAGTTTTTGGCATTGCTTTGTCAATGATATGAATAGACGTATATTTGACAATAGGCAAAAATCCAATGTCATCGGTATCTGAACATATCTTGGCATGTGCCGCTTATCCAAGGTATCAATCAGTTCACAAGCCCAGAGCATCGAGATCGAGTTACATGCAATGCTTAGTCCCGTAGTCAAAGAATGCAAGAAGTCTTGGCCAGTGGCGGGAAGAACTCGACTCTAGTATTGTATGAATGTCGACTGGCAAGCAGGTTGGAAGCCAATCGATCTGTCTAGCTAGTGAACATGTGAGTGAATTGTGTAGATATTGGAGTCATATAGGACGGGAGATAAGACGCCTGTGGTATTATAAGAAAAGTTGTGCTAGGATCTAGGAGTTGTACAGAAAGTTGGAAATAGTAAGTATATCGCTTCCGATCAATTGATATACATACTAGATACTAATTGTGGTGAATACTAGCTAATAATATACCGTTACAGAGTATGAGATAGGTAGGGGTGAATGCATTCTAGATGACTGTACCACACTGGATGGAGATTCGAACTCATAGCAACTTACTACAGATTGATATGTTACTTAGAAGAGTATATTATTTTATTTGTATAGATATTGAATGAAATTTATTTTTGTATATGAACTCAAAGCTCGTGTCTGTTTAGAAAATAGTGTATAGGTTAGATAAAGACCCTGGCAAACCCAATACGAGGGCCCAAAGTTTTCCTGGTACGTTAAATTGTTTCAGGTGTACTGGAAGTAGTAGCATACCATGCATTGATGGTGTTTAAGTGAAATAATGTAAGCTATTAATTGGCAAAATTTTCGTGGAAGAAAATAAAATAATAAAGTACATTTAATATATTATGACATTCTGCTTTGATGTAAAACACTGTAGA